GTCCCAGTTTTATTGGAATAATAGGGGAGTGAAGCCGTCTGGCCCTGGAGCTTTGAACGACCCCATACTATGAATAGCTTGACGTAATTCCTCCATCGTGCCATCTTTCAATAACTCATTATTCATAGCTGGAGAAACCTTGGAACAAATTCCAAAAATCAGCATCATCCATAATTGGAGGGGAGGAAAAAGTGGAATTGAAATAATCCTCGGCCACCCGGTGAACCTCATCTTTAGAGTCACACCACTTACCCGTAGAGCCATACAGACCAAAAATCTCATTTTTATGGCGCCGGATCATAGTCTTCCAATGTAAAATTTTGGTATTTTTGTCCCTATGATTAAGCCAGTCAACTCGGGATTTCTGCTTCCAGAACAGTTCTTCATCGCGCCAAGCATTGCTGAGTTCCTTTTCAAGACAGTAGCACTCCATCTTGTTATAACTATAGGTCTGATCCTTGAGGTGGACCAAACGTTCTTGGAGGTTCTGAATCTTCCGGTGGGAATTATCATACTTCCCCCTTCGCCATTGTTGCAAAGCCGATTTGCAATTCCTCAATCGATCATCAAGACCCGCCAACAGAGGACCTGGACCCAAGAAAGCCCAAGCTTTGTTCAAGGTAGGTTTAAAATCCAGTTCTTGAATCCAACACGCATCAAAATGGAAGTTCCGTTTTTGGTGAGTAATAGAATCATTCAGACATAGGAGAAGAGCGCGGTGATCGGATCCTTGAACGGTTAAGTGATGAAGCATGCACCGCGGAAAACATTGAAGCCATTGTTGCGAACACAGATCATGATCAAGGCTGGCCATAATAACATCATAGGCGTCCCTATGATTGCACCAAGTAAAAGGGAAACCCTTGAACCGCAAATCAACAAAATTACAATCAGCAAGGAAAAGATTAAATTCACGCAACATCCATCCCTGCTTCGAGACCCCTCCCCACTTCTCATCCCAGTGGAGAAGAGCATTAAAATCACCAATCAGAAGCCACCTTGACAACTGATATTTCAAACTGTGTATATAATTCCACTGTGACACTCTCTCAGTCTAAGAACAAGAACCATAAATACCAGTAACAAACCAAGGAGCATCGCCCCTGCCCCCTATGACCTTACAAGTGATCTGGAATTTTGTGAAATCGACGATAGAAATTTGCCATTCCGGAGAGAAAAGGAGAGCAAGACCATCGACACGGCCCGTAGACAGAACCACAAAAGATTCATATGAACCCAAACTCTATCTGACTCGTTCCACACGATCACCATAATTTTTAGTCTCTGAAAGGAAAATCAAAGGTGGGGAATGGAGGTTAACCAGCCTCCTCAATTGAGAAACTATCAGAGGGTTCCCCAAACCCTGATAGTTCCACACCAAAACCCTCATTGAGGAGGGGGGGGGGGGGGGGGGGCATGCAGGGCTGGCTACCACCACCGAATTTGGAAGAGAAGGAGAGAGAACATCCGAAAAGGAAGAACTGAGAGCCAGAGAATGCCTCACCTTTGCCTTCTTAGAAACCACCGGGGAAAAAGAATCATCGGGATGACAATGACGTAGTTGAACCTACTATGGCATTTGTAAAAGGGTGCCGACCGATTTTCTTGCCCGTCTTTTCCACAATTGGGAGGAGGAGAGAGATGGGGACCTGGAGGAGGGCCAGGGTTGGGTTACATCGAGGGTGAGACTTTCAGGGTTAGAAGAGGTGATAGGTGAGGTGTGAGGAAAGAAAGAAGCCGGGAGAGGTTGGGCCGGGGAAACTGCCGGGAGAGGTTGGGCCGGGGAAACTGCCAGGAGAGGTGGAAACCCATGGATGTCTGATAACTCCAGACCCACCGTTGAAGTGGATAAAAATGGGCTTGGTGTAGGAATGGGAAAATGAGAGGCACCCGAGGTAACCCCAGAAATAGGCCCAATAACCAAGGATGGAATAGAGGAGCCCATTTCAGAAACAACAAGGATTGGACCACCCATGAGGGAATGGGCAGGTGTATGCACCGCTAGGGGTTCCGTATTGCAGGGATGGATAGGGCTCCTCTGGACCACATGAAACCTGACACGCGAGAGTCACATCAACCGGGGAAAAGGAGTGGTGGGGGGGGGGGGGGGTCCGGCCAGCCAACTCAACCCTGTCGACAAAAATTTGGGCCGCCGGAGAGAAAGGTTCCGCCGATCTGGAACTGTGGGAAGAGCAGCTCTCGGATGAAGCATGTTTCGGACCCTTTGGAAACCGTCCAGACAAACCAATGGCTTTAAGCTCAAGGCTAAACAAACTTTTATCACCAATTTTTGCTCACTTCCGTGAACAAGAACGAAACTTATGACCAACTCTGCCACAACACATAGAGCATGAAGGCGTTCGTACTGATAAGGGAACCATACCCATTTATTGCCATACCAGAGTTTAATCCCACGACGAAAGGGCTTAGATGTATTAACACCCACCCAAATTCGAAGATAGCGAGCCCCCCATTCAGACCTTGATCACGGACTTCAACTGTTTCATAAAACGGGAAATTAGATCCAACCTTCCAAGCAGCGTCTTCAACCCTTAATTTAAGGGGGAGACTAAAAATCCGAATCCAAAATGGAACAAAATGAAAAGAGGCCACCGTAAATTCAAACTAAGGATATGCTATTTTTGAATGGAAAGAAGAGAGCCCTCAAAACTCCAGGGGCAATTCCGTAAAAAAATTTCACGATCTTCTTTGCGAGGGATAATAAAGTGGAACATGAGATTATCCACCCGGTACATCTATAGATTCTCATTGCCCCAAACTTCACTTAACATTTTTCGAAGACCAAAGAGATTCACCGGGACATCTGTAAGGAGTTTGCCGGCCAAACTATTTTCGCACAGCCTGAACCCTTCGATGGCCTCTGAATCTTCAATAATAACTCCTATATCTTCTTCATCTGTGAGTTTAAAAGACATAAGCTGAGACATCAGTGCCTCTGCCATGAGAGAGAGACCTACAAGAGGAGAATAAGTGAAACCAAAGCTCCCAGAAAAAAACTTTCCACAGGCAAAAGAAAAGAAAACCCTTTAGCACCGCTAAGGGATGATGTGAATAATTGAGGGTTGATTAACCGATTTCCCTTTTCGACCATTAATTAGATAGTCCACAATAGCCTCTAATATAAGAATTTATACAAATCATACTTGTGCCCCACAATTCTAGCAAATGATAATAAAAAATAAAAAAATAAAAAAATCCCAAATAAAGTCACTTAATCAGATATAAAACCTAATTTAAATCAGAGGTATTACATTTTTGCTGCTCCTTTCTCTCTCTCTCTCTAGATATATACACACACACAACAATTTCTATTATATATATAACAATAATATTTAAGAACAAATGATCTAACACTTGTAATTGTATTATGGTCCAAATAATTTAACACTTGTAACAATGGTTAATTTAATTACAAAAAAGAAAACTCCAATACAAATATTACTTATGCCTAAAGGCCACGTTTATCGCATTGATGATGCATTTAATGCAATTATAAAGATGAAAAAATTGAGAAGATAAGCATAAATGTATTGCATAATCAATAATGTTATTAATAACTTTATTTGAAATAAAATAACTTAAAAGTTTACAACGTAAGAGTTATTGTGAAAGCTATTTTGTTCTCTCCTTGGAAAGAACACTCCAATAATGTCCCGAGTATTAAAAAGCTTTGGCAATTTTAAATTTTAAATTTTAAATTTTAAAATTACGTAACATGTAAATCTTATGACTTTTTGAGAGAGATGTATTTTAGAAATTAGGGCATGAAGAGTTCCAAAAAGAGTAGGAAAAGTGGTCATCTCACTTAATCAACTTATTATTACAGTCAATCTACAATGTTTTCTTTCCTCCAATCATGTACAAAGTTTGTTATAGCATATCTAAATTTAATGGCAATATGAGTTGTGAAAAACTTCGTTAATCATTTTTAATATATATTAAAAAAAGAATTGTAAAAAAATGTAATGAAATCTTTGATGAAAAAGATCTAAGATAGAGAAGTCAAGGATAAAAACAGTCAGAGTTAATGGATGGGTATATGAATAAAACTAAAGAATTATAAAAATAAAAACAATAAGGAGTACATGAATATAATTGTTTGTATGAGAAAAGTAAAAAAAAAATAAAAAAAAAAAAAAATTTACATTGCACAACTCATCTACATCCAAGGAAAAAAGAAGAGCAACTTACCTTGTTTAATTCCTTTTCTCGACCCACAAAGCAAGAAATATTTTTCGAATTTTAAATGGTAGTAATCTTTTAAATTTGGACAAAAACAATGCATTTTTGAAAAAGAAAAACTCAGTTTTTTCTTCAACTTTCAAAGTCTTGTTGAGTTCAAGCTATATAAACTAAACCTTTTTAAGTTGGTTTTAAATAATACATCGAGGTGCTAGATAATGTGTCGGTCAATGGCACGATAACCGCATTATCCACACGATCATATATAGAATTACATTAAATCATGCATATCACATATAATCAAATAATAATGGATATAATATAATTCTACTCAATCATATAAATATATACTTACTTATTATTTAACATTTATTTGTTTGTATCTTAAGTAGAATCATATAATATAAACAATGCAAGAAATAAATTATCCTAATCTTTTTGAAAAATATATGTTTTACATGGTAGTTAAGATAAATAAATATTATACTAAAATGCATATGAGATAATTAATAATATATTAAAAATAAATAATTAAATAAAGAAAGTCAAAATTAGTATTTGATACTATGTCTTTAAGATAATTTACGCCACACACCCCAAAATTACTTCCCTCCTGATCAATAATATAAACCACAAGCATGTAAAAACTTACGTCCAAATACAACTATCTATCCCTTTGAGTCAACGAGTTACCAAAGTTCCACAGTGAATATCAATATGAACCAAAACATAAATATAGTAACTAATTTTATACACTAAATATCTCCTTAAATAATCTGTATCCAATAAATAATGATATACATAACTATGTAAGCACTGTCAAGTACCAACTATATCTCCTACCCCTCATCCATCCTGGGCTTCTATAGGATACGTTAGTCCCATTTGCTAATTTGAGTCTCATAGATAGAACCAAAAATTACTTGGCCCTTTAGATATCTAATGCAAATGAGAACATTGTGTTTCACATATGATTTTAAGGGTATGTGATGATTTCAACAATTTACTTACTTTAATATTTCCATCCAGTAATTTCCCGTATTGACATGCCAAATGCCATGTAAAATATTTACCCGAAAAAAAAAAAAAAAAAAAAAAAAAAAAAAAAAAAAAAACTGATTCAATTTACAGTGACGTAGAATCACCCCTTAACCAGATGTAGCAGGTTATTTTCTTTATAAGGGCAGTAAAGACTAAAGAGAAGTAAGCCATTTATCACGGGATCTATATCAAATTGATCTCACAAATTATAAAAAAGACAATTACCCGGAAAATTCCAACAACATCAAATTTGTCAATTATTGTCATCGACTGCAATTGGTGCAAATTAGGAAGTGTTAACAATAATTCCACGTTCTGTAAACAATCATCAGCTTTATAATAATTGAACATTGGTGTCCCTAGTATCAAATAAAACTAATAAACAATGAATTGGTGCACGGATGATTCTTAGTAAATCATACAAAAAATCTGTTACAACAAACGCAGCGAACCCAAGATAGAATCAAGAATTACGACAGAAAAATAAACACACCACACATAGAACATAAAAATTTATATGTGGTTCAGCAGCAGCCTACGTTTACGATGAAGAGCCGGCGAAAGTTTCACTATATGTAAAAGAGCCGGCGAAAGTTTCACTATATGTAAAATCGGAGATTACAAGTTTTCAACCCCACTCTGTTTCTATACGAATTTTAAATTCTTTCTCTTACACCAGTCCAAACCCTAATCACCCTAATATATCGGGTTACAAGAGACTAATTAGGGTCCATAACCCATGAGCAAAAAATCAGGTCAAAAATTTTCCTCGGGCCCGAACCCCCTAACCCCCAGAGCTTTGATGGGCTTAGGCCCACACAAAGCTTATCCAACGGGTCGTGAGCGATCACAACGCAAACCGGCACGAAATTCGGGCCACAACATCACAGAATCACTTTTGTGGTCCCACACGTGTTTCAATTTTAATTATGAAAGTGACCGTAAGATTTCAATACTTTACCTGGATACTCTAAAAACTTAAGCTATTAGAGAGGGCATAACATTAAATCCTTCGAAATTCTACCTGGTGCAAGGCCTAAGCTGGGCTTCTGACAGCCTCTTATATGTCATCAAAACATAACAACACACACATTGCAATAAAAGAACAGGGGAAAAAAACAAAGAATCTCATTTTTGTTAATTTAAATCGGAAAATTGGAAGTTTGGCATAGCCACATAGGATATCTTCCAGGAGTTCATAATTTGATTTATTTAGTTAAATTTTTTTTTCAAGCATACAGTTATTCCCCTATGACAAGGATTATTACTTAACCATATCAAAATTCTCAAACATAGCAAGAAGAACTCACCTTCAACGTGAAGCAATCATCTCAAAAAGTATACCTCAAACCTTCAAGTTTTCCCATTTTACAGATGTCATCAACGAAGAGCTTCACTTGCACACCCTGATCAGGAAAGGAGAGAAATTTGTGACTAGTGATGATTCATGAGATGAGGACGCTCATAAGGACTGTTTCTTTGTCTATCAAAAATGTCACCCACCAGAGAAAGTTTAGAGATCTGCATCCAAACGCAGGACTGGTTGATAATAATCCAAGAACCCAGCCACTTTCAAGAAGACAAGTATAAAGGGAAATTTGGTCCATTTAAAGACACAGGAAATAAAATAACCCCAAAGCACATGGTTTGTATCCAATATGAGAAGACAATAAAAGAAACATTTGAAATAGTCCATCCATCAAGTACTTATCAATATATTACCAGAATCTGCCTGCCAGTCTGATGGCACAATTCCACTTTTCAACCTCCAAAGTCTCCCATCTCAATAGACCCTCTACTTCATGAATCTACTACTTTCAATCCCAACTTTCTTCAAGTCCATATCTTTTTTATTTTTCAACCAGTTCCATGTTCTGCTTCATATCTGTTATAAGTTTTTGCATTTTAAAATCAAATGTATCATCTCCACAAATTCTTTAAAGCCACTTCAAATTTAAACCCATGTTTTCAGCCTCTTTCACAGTGCAATAGTAGATTTTCAAGTCATAATATATTGAGAATCCTTGGGCAACTTCATGTGAAGCCTTTTAGGATGGAGGACCAAAATATTCATGACTTCAACATTTTTCTCTAAGACCCCATTGAAGCAGCAATTGCATATCATCTGTAACCACAGCAGCCTCCATGAACAAATAGGCAACCTTAATAGGCCAACCTAAGGCATATGGTTATCCATTGTTGCTTGTTACTTGCACACTAGTTTGAAATATGATTGAATAGACTTGCCAGATTGATCGAGGAGCAACTGTCTCTTTACGAATATTGATTCTCTTGATTTGTCGCACTAGAACAAAGATCATTTCCCAGTGTTTGACTGAAAAAATGTGCAGATGCTCTTACCCCGATTTTAATACAAATAATGTGGTAAACAATCCATGATGACACTGAAGATATCAACCCCCAAAAAATCACTGACAGTTGAATGAAGATATTGGAAGTTAAATCCATATAAAACAATCATATAATACCATAGATTATCTGAGTAAACTCTTCTCGCTCTCAAATAGCCATACAAGTGGTTGCTGTTGAGTTCAGTCAGTTCTATCCGGACATTAGTGGACAATCTTTGCAATATCCCCGTGCTTGTTGATTGTTGCTCGGAGGATCGGGGCTAGACTCTGTTCACAGTTGTGCCACTAGATTGGTAACTGTTGCTTGTATCATCAATCAAAAGCACACTGAGGAGGACCACTGACCATTGTTTTTTCCTTTTCTTGGTTGCATCAACCAATTCCATGTTCTGCTTCATATCTGTTATAAGTTTTTGCATTTTTAAATCAAATGTATCATGTCCACAAATTCATTAAAGCCACTTCAAATATAAACCCATGTTTCTTGAAGATTGCTTGATGGGTAGGAGTAGCGTAAACCTTTATTTTTTTTAATCACCAACCAAACAGAACAGAGCAACAACGAACTGGCTAAAGAGCCAGAAACAAAAGGAATGAAACAGTCCAAATAGATTATCCAAGTAAACTCTTCTTGCTCTCAAATAGCCATACAAGTGTCTGCTGTTGAGTTCAGTCAGCTCTACCCAGACTTTAGTGGGCAATCTTTTGCAATATCCCCGTGCTTGTTCATTATTGCTCGGACAATCAGGGCTAGACTCTGGTTTGTGCCACTTGATTGGTAGCTCTCGCTTGTATCATCAAAAGCACACTGAGGAGCACTGACCATTGTTTGAGCTTCATGCAATGGGAGAGGGTTGGCTGTTTCTTGGATTTCTTGACCACAAGTAGTACTTGGCTGATCAGTGACATCTTGGGCTCTCTCTTCACTTTCCGGTTATGCTGTTTCTTCTGGAGAATGACTGGTGAGCTACTTGCATGAATAAATTGATTGTCAAATTGTAGAGGTTCTGATTGATTATTGCCCTCGGATCTGAGAGATGGAGAAAGAGACCAATAGAAATACGACTATTGGTCTCTTTGCATGACCTGGTTAATGACTCCACTAAGCTTGAGCTTCCTTTCTTATTCCAAGTTGTCCGTCAAAGACTAAACCAACCTGTAATCAATTAGAGTGAAACTGCAAAAAAGTCACCAATCCAGAGGATGATGAATAGGGATACTCATTAAACACACAACAATCAGACACTGAAAGACTAAAATATGAACAATGATTAAAAAAAATGGCCCAGGCATTAATTTCACAGATATAAAATCTCATGTCTAACATTTCTTTTAGCAAACACCACGTACGTTTCAGAAACAAAGTCCACAAAATAAGTTTTAACATATTTGCTTTTGTTGAAGCAAGACTTCTTTATCGAAGTTTAAATACTACTGCTACAGTACTTGTTTTTTCTCATCTGTTTATCATATCATATTTTTATTATCCTTTACAGCAAGCAATATATACCAAAGTAAAATCTTTAGCACCAGTGTTAATAAACCTGAACAAAAGAACATTTCAATGGATCAAGTGACAATATGACTCCAAGAGAAAATGCACATCATTAAAACTTATTATGCTGCATTAGTATTACATTAGAAGAAGCATTAGTTAAAAGTCATGGCTGATTAGACACTTCATTAACCCTTTTGGGAGTAGTTGGGGTCTAGCTTCACCAATTAAACACATTTTATGCCAAAAGAACACAACAACAAAGGGGAACATTTGTAATTGTGATGGAAAAGTTACTGTCACAAAAATTTTATTTTAGCGGCATTAATTGTCAATTGGTGTTAACCAAATATGAAAGGATATGATAATAGCCAACCGCTAAAAGTCTTGCGGAATAGGTACCTTTTAATGTGTAGGGTTGCTAGTTGTTTGAGGAGGTGGAGACGGCGGCTAGACTGGGATTTATGACTCTCAATGGACATTAGACATAATTTTGTTTTGTGTTGCATAAAAAATAAAAATTGAAGAGCCACATAGAAATTTAATGCGTTTCACAACTTCATGTCAATTGCCATTGTCTGAAAAATATCAACCCAATCAAAGCACGACTTGGAGGAAAAAAATTGAAATATCACCATTCAATTGGTGAAAATGGAAGTATCAATTGAAATTTTGGTACACGCCCAAATCACATTTCATAGCAAATTCCAATGTAAAAACACAAATTGGCTTGATATATGGGATGGTTAATATAACATGCCCTATAACTCATATATGAAAATTAATCTCTAAAAGGCAAAAATACACTTAAATTTACTGATTAATATTTGTCCCACTAATTATTTATCATCAAACAAATCAAATTCTGTATGTGTGAGAGGGAGGAGTAGAAGAACCAGCATGCACCTCGTCGAGCCTTTTCTTCTCGCAGCCCTTCTTGGGCTCTCCGCCGCTGCCCGAGCCCGCCAAGACTGGAGATCGGAGACGCGGCAGAGGCGGTGGTGGAGGTGGTGTTGTATTCCGCTGAGAAGAGCTTCTCCTACTACTTTGTCAATTGTCATGCTGTTCTCTCTTCTCGTCTTTCTCGGCTTTTCCAAGTGTGGTGCCTGCTACTCTGCCTCTTGTGTCCACCTCTATATATATTATATACAATAAATCATATAATATATATAATTTTTAAATATTTTTTATATTTATTAGTAAATATACATATTATATACATATATAATAATTGTAGAACATATGATTTAACACTTATAATAGAGGTTAATTTCTTTTAAAAAAGGAAAAATACAATACAAATGATATTTATGTCTAAATATTGATGTCACATTTATTGCATTACGGATGCATTTAATCTCTCTCTCTCTCTCTCTCTCTCTATATATATATATATATATCTTATTTTATTATTAAAAGTCAATCCAATTTTGAGTTTCCATCCTATATTTTTAATCATATACTATTCATTAATTATTATTTATAAAAAAAATTTAAAAAGTTTTTATAAATTTTGGAGTCTTTAATTAGTTATTATTTTTTCAAAAGAGTTTTAATAAATTTTGTACGAACCTATAACAATCAAAAAAATAATAGTAATAATTATTTACGTTCCTATTTATTATTTGTTTCTATCCTTTTTTTTTTTATTCTTTCGTTAATTATTATTTTTTAAAAGTGTTTCTACAAATTTTGGACTCTTTTGGTATGCATTATTGTTTCTTTCATATTTTGAGTTTCTATTAATTATAAATAAATAATTATTTACATTCATTTTTCTCAATATTAAATTTACCTTTCTAATATAAGAAATAAATTTGCCTTTTCTAATGATTAAATTTCTTTTTTGAGTTTCTGCCACATATTTATTTGTTTTTAATCATATATATATATATATATATATATATAATTTTTTAAAAGAGTTTCTATAAATTTTGGACTCTTTTGGTTTATTTATTATTTTTTAAAAGAGTTTACATAAATTTTGGACTCTTTAGAAACTTAAAGGTTGAGTCCATAGAATGTGGTGTGTAAAATAACTTACCAAAAATGTATTAAATAAAGATGATTTTATGACATGTGATTTGGGCAAAATTTATTTCAAAGAAAATGATTAGTACTTAATTACTTTAATTACTATGCCAATTGAATGTAGAAAAGAATTGGGCCTCACTTTCTTTTTTTCTTTTTTTCCTTTTTTTTTTTTTTTTCTAAATAAAGAGTTGAACCTCACTTTTTTTTTTTCAGTAAATAAAGATTTTTTTTCATTAAATAAAGAATTGGACCTCACTATTTTTTTTAGTAAATAAAGAGTTGGACCTCACCTGCCATTCTATTTGACCAAAAACTTAAATTCCAAGAGAAAAATACCGAAATTTTTAAATAAATCTCATTAATTAGATATTCTATACTCATCTGGAAAAATCATACAGAGTTACAAATAATATATATTTTCTTACTTGTACATAAAAGATTATTTTATGACAGTGATATGGGCAAATTTTTTTTTTTTTTTTTTTTTTCGGAAAGTAATTTGGGCAAATTTTATTTCAAAGAAAATGATAAGTACTTAATTACTATGTGAAGTGAGTTCGTCAATTGAATGTAGAAAAGAATTGGGCCTAAAAAAAAAAAATTTCCCAGTAAATAAAGAGTTGGACCTCACTTTTTTTTTTTTAGCAAATAAATAATTTTTTTCAGTAAATAAAGAATTGTACCTCACTTCTTTTTTTTCAGTAAATAAGGAGTTGGACCTCACTTGCTTGCCCTTCTTTTTTACCAGAAACTTAAATTCGAAGAGAAAAATACCGAAGTTTTTAAATAAGTATAATCTGGTTAATTAGATATTCTATGCATAGATACTGATCTGGAAAAATCATATAGAGTTGCAAATAGTATATATTGCCAGTTGATCCTTTATAGTAATTAAGTTGATCAACTAAATTTAAAGAGCAAATGACCAGACGTGAATTTTTTATAGCAAAGAATTAAAGTCGGAAGATTAAAATGCTCTGCTCTACCTTTTAGACAAGGATAATCACGTATTAAATTGCATAGTATGCTCATGTTCCATCATTGTCTATATAATTGTGACTAGTGTTTGCAATCCCTTATATACACATATATATTCCCTCCGTCCCATATTAATAGTCTATTTTTCCCTTTTTACATGTCTCAAATTAGTTGCTCTCTTTTAAAAGTCAAAACATCTTTTCATTATATTTTCATTATTGTCATTTATCATTTTAATGCATTAATTGCATGTTCCCTGAAAAACTCTAATTTTTAAATATGGACTTCTATCGTCTGATGGAAGGAGTATAAATTTTAAAGTCCCTTTCTTTCCTCTCCAAAGAACTCGTGAAGATGACTTTCTCTAACAAATGTCCAATACTGCTTGCTTTGTTCATTGTCCCATACAGTGAGCTTGTCTTCTCTGCTTCCCTTGATGCAACCGATGATAGTATTTTCCATTGGCCAAAGATTACAGTTATCATTTACAACGATCTCGAAGAAGGGGTAAATCTAAATGTTCATTGTAAATCAAGGAACGATGATCTTGGTATTCAAGTGTTATCTTTCGGAAGCTCCTTTCAATGGAAGTTCCATAAAAATATCTGGGGAACTACACTTTTTTTTTGTGGGTTTTCAGGAAAAAATGTGAGTGGGGTTTATGACACCTATGTTGCAGGTAGGGATATTTGCAATAAATGTGTTTGGAAAGCCAAAAAAGATGGATTGCATGGATATGAAGATTTTGGTTCTGATCTAGAGAGTTTTTTCTTTAAGTGGGGTAAAACACCAGCAATACAAGATATTAATGTTGGTGAGAAAAAGAATTGAAACATGTAGTGCTAGTACTCCAACCTCTTGTAATTGGTGATATTATATAATAATCGGAAGTATTTCTACTTTGTGCACCTTATCTAATAAACTAGATCATGATTTCTATTCATCTACACAAATCTTCTTGTTTTAAGTTTCCGTATTAGTTTAGAAATAAAACATTAGACTATTTTTATATTGGAATGAGGAATCTATCAAAATTGTAATAATTGAGATTCACTTTGTAAAGCTCAATATCTATTATAAACTGCGAATAGGCTTTTAAGATAATTGCTTTTGTGTCTACTTAATTTTTGAATTGGAAAACCTTTCTTTTTTTTTCTTTTTTTTTGCACTTACCCAAATTAAAAAAAAAAAATTATATATATATATATATAGCGGAACCCAACAAGAGAATGGTCGGGTAAATCACACGTACAAAGTTCAAACCCAACCTTTGCAATGACTTTGTTGATTATGAATTTGATGAAACTTTTTTAGTCCCAATGGGGTGAAGTGCAAAAAACTGGGTGAAGTGCAAAAAACTCTCCCGTAGTTTGAATAGTGTGCAAATAATACCCTTCATGTTCAAATCCCACCCCTGAAAAGTGAGCAAATAAATGATTATTGTCAGTTAAATAAACTGAGATAGGCAAGAATATGAAAAAGTCCCTCAAAAAAAAATAATAATAATAATAAAAAAAAATGATAAAAGATGAGTAGAAGTTGACATTACTTAAAAGGGCTTACACAAAATTAGAGAGTAAAATCAAATGAAATATAATGGAAAAAATCAATAAATAAGTAGAATAAGATATAATGTAATATATATATATATATATATATATATATATATATATATATATATAATTCAAAGAAATATTTATTTTTACTATTATCTTTATTTAAAAAATCAAATAAAATATAATGTAAAATATATATATGTGTGTGTGTGCGCGTGCATAAAGTCAAGCGCCAAATCATAATCCTATGAATAATTACCGAATAGTAATACAAATAAATATAAAAATACTATATATTTTCTGTACAAAATAAACTATTTTATTTTTTTTACAGATGTACCAAAGATTTCATTCTTAAAAGAGTATATAATAAGTATAGACATTTAGGTGTATATATATTCATCTTATTGATATGCACCATCGAAGTCGCATCCTCTCCACTAAATATGGTGAAATCGGGATAACAGTAGCCCTGGGATAACTCATACTAGTCAATATAGTCAGAATAAGGCTTCATGTACATAGGCCTAAGGCGTCTCTGTCCCTGGCCATCTCCCTGTGGATAATGTCAATTAGCGGAGCCTTGTCGATCCCACCATTAGGAACGAAAGGATCAGCTATAGGTTATTGTAGCGGTGAAGGATAGAGATCTGGACATTCCCTCTGATGATTCGCTATCAGTCCCCTCCCCCCCCCCCCCCCCCCCAACATGGCCATAAGTGAAACTAGAGAAGGAACCTGGTATTGATTATTTCTCTAGCGATGTTGATTGCCCCCAAGTCATGTGGTTCTCGGTGAGGAATAAGGGGCAACACCTGCTGATTCTGATGCGGCTGGTTCTGGTTCTACTGGCACAAAGTGGGAGGCTGATATAATGGCACCGTAGGCTGATATAATGCCTCTACTGTAATTGACGGCACACTATTAGGGATACATCCCATGTTGGTTTGCAGAGTAGACCCTGTCAAAACATTCGGCTGCATTAACAGTAAGGTTACCAACGACAAGGTGGTCTGTTGCGAATCAGATTCGTGAGCAGCTGAGTTATCCTGATCAGGACGGCTTTGAACAACCGATACCTGAGCCATCATAGTATCGACTCTCTGATTATTGTCACTAATTTGTGCCTGAAGCTTAGTCTTGTTACTGTCAATCTGAAAAGAGTAAGTGTTACCTTTCCGCTCCAAACGTTTCATCATCTGAGCCAATGGAACATCGGATTGTATAACCAACTCGCCCTCAACGGAAGGAATCGACTGACATTCTTCTGCATTATCATCATCTGTTGTGACAACATTCTTGGAATTATTTTGCCTCGATGGCATGTTTGCAATTCACTCACCCTGTGGGTCCCACCGAGTGTGCCAAAATGTTTAACCGTAAATCGGCAAAGCCTGCCAATACAAAAATTAGCTATATGTGGGCGTGCCAGAACCAATGAACTTGGTTCAATTTTTAAAGATCTAGTCTCTTTTGTGAGATATATTTTGTAATTAGCTAATTTCGTTATCAAAACAAATTCGATCGAGTTGTAATTTTTCCGTTCAAAATCTTAAAGATCGGATGCAGATTTAAAGAAATTCAAGTGTTTATGGTATACTACACTCCGAGATGATGAGAACAATGATTTAGGAAGTTTTGAGAGGTAGTGAGAACACTTAGAAAGTTTTAGAAGGTTGAAGGAAATAAAGAATTCCTTTCTGTCTATTTTGAACCGGTAAGAGGATCTTTGAACTGGTAGCCAATCATAGTTCATAGCAAGTTCATTCTCTGCCATGCTTGAACCGATAGCCAAAGGTTGAACCGGTAGCAATAGTGCGTGAGAAATTCTTCTGACCTTCTTGAACCGGTAGCCACATTCTTGTACCAGTTCAAGAAGTCCTGGCAGCATCAGAATTCCAATTTCCTATTCCTGATTGTTTCCGTTTTTATCCTAATTTCCATCCAAGTCCTATGGATGAAATTTTCAATATTTCCAAAGGGATTAGGACATTCTAAACTCTATATAAACCTTATTAGTCATCTAGGTTTATTCGTGACTTTAAGGAACATCATTCTATATTTTGAGAAAGCCTTTAAAAAGAGAAAATTTCAGAAAATCAAATCTGATTATTCTGAATTTATTTATGAGAACATACACACATATTCATAAGTGATTTAGTAGTGTTGTTCTCTATCTCATCGAAATTAGAGCTATATTGAAGATTCAGAGATTCCGAAAGAAAATCAGGATTTAATTCTTTTACATCAAGTTCAGATCTTGAAGAACATAAGTAAAAGCGATTGCACTTTAAAAGGGTTGGAGCATTCGAGGAGTGTTGTCTGATCTACCTACTGCTCTTCTACAATGATCAAGCATAAGCCTGAAGTCAAGTTGCTATTGGACGAGACGTCGCAAAGTTAGAGGATTGTTAGCAATTGGTGTTTGGTAGAATGATAGGGTATGAGCTAGGGTCAAAGTTTAGTGTACTTTGTTTCAAACATAGTGGATCGGTTTACTTTGGACTGCATAGTCCACGAGGTTTTTCCCATGCAAACAGTTTACGTATTTTATCAATTAAGGTTTCCTCGCTAAAAATCCTGGTGCAATCTCTCTAACCCTAACTTGATTTACTTTTCAGTATTTATATTTATGATTGTGAATGGTTAATTGATCAGATAATTTAATCAATCATAAATTGAGCAAGTTGACCTAATAATCAGATCTAGGTCATTTAAAGAGTTAATCACAATTAAAATCAACTAATAACTTCTGCACCCCGCGTTAACATTGTTTTCACAATTGATATCAGAACGGGATACTCAATATACTAAGTAGATCATATTTGTTGATTTGTTGTTGATTTTGCATCATGTCTAAAAATTCATATGTTATTGATGTGTTGCCTTTAACTGCTGTTGATTCTGTCACAAGCATGTAAATTGAGTTGTCCAAATTTAAAAAAGATTTTAAAAATCTGTTAGAGAAAATGAATCTTACAGGACTTGATAGAGATATTTGTAAGGTAGAAGTTTCTGCCTCTAATAAGAATTTGGAAAAAATTAGCCATAAAAATTTGAATCTTCTTCGTAAAATTGATTTTCTGGAAACGAACTTTAAGAAGATAAATTTGTTTAATAAATCACTGGAACTAAAAATTGATAATTTGAGTAGTGAATTTGTTAAATCAAAACAGTCTTTTCAGAAAGTTGAATTTGACACTTGCAAAATTGATAAGTTGAAAGGAGTGGTTGAGAATATTAGTCATAACAAATAATTGACTCCAAATTCAAAGGATTTGTATTTTCAAAAAATCTAAAGATATTTTTGTGAAAGTTGAAACCAAACATTGTGTTATCTCTAGTTCTCCTAAACTTATTTCAATATGTCATATTTGTGGTGAAAAATGGCATATCAAGTATAAGTGTCAGAAAAGAAAATTTGAATTTGGAAAGAAATTGAAAAATCTAGGGAGTTAAATTAAGAATAAAAGAAAGAAAAAGACTTTTGAGTCTTGTGACACTTTGGGGCCTAGAACTATAAAGAAATCATTGCATAATAAATTTAAAATTGTTTGGGTAAAAGAAGAGAATTTTAAATGCATGCACACAGCACTTAAAGCACTTGGTCTATGTGGTTGCTACTTTGATAGTGGTTGCTCTAGGCATATAATAGGGGATATAACATTGTTTACCACTTTTAAGGAATGTTCAGTTGGTACTGTTACTTTTGATGATGGTAATGCTTCTAATGTAAGTAGTAAAGGTAAGATCAAATTTATAGGAATTGGGGAATTAAAGAATGTTCTATATATTAAAGGTTTAGCTACTAATTTGTTGAGTATTAGTCAAATCTGTGCTGAGGAATTTCAAATCAATTTTACTCAATAATGGTGTTTTATAACTAATGAAAAAGGTGAATGTGTTTTGAAAGGAACTAGAACTTCTGATAATTTCTATATTGTGTTTTCAAATGCTTTTTTTTTTTTCCTAGTTGGGTACTCACACACACATGCCTCTACAGAGACTCGAACCCCTGACCTCTCTTTGAGAAGTAGGAGCTTGGTACTGCTAGGCCATTGGCCTGTTAGTATGTTTTCAGATGCTTCACTAATGTGTTTTTCTGCAGTTACTGATGAGGCAAGTTTATGGCATAAAAAACTTGGACATGTGAATTTTAATGATTTAGTGAATTTGTCTAACAATGATCTTGTTCGAGATTTGCCTAAATTGAAAATGCCTAAGAATGAAATATGTGGTCCATGTCAATTAGGGAAACAAACTAGAGTGTCACAT